CCTCCCCTCCATATGAAAGGACAAACACTCACCACCTGAGTTCTCAGTCCTGCTCCCTGAACGGGTCCAGCGGGTCCGGGGATGTGGGTCACAGCCTCAGTCTGTGCTGACCTGGGTCGATCATGGGCTTGGAGGAGCCTCCAGTGAGCGTCTGTGACGAGGCAGCGACTGCACATGTAGGAGGAAGTGCAGCTGCTGAAGAGTGCGGTTGGCGGACTTCAGTCTGATGCCAGGATTTCCTCTTTTAATGTTAAACTGAGCTGCAGCTCAGGGGGTGGGGGGGCGTGTCCCGGGAGCAGACTGTGAGCCAGAACCGGTCCATCAGCCTCTGGAGCAACAGCTCGTGTTGTGTGTCCTCGACACAACCCTGAGCTGCTTTTGTGTTTGCAGCCAAACAATCCAGAGTCTTTTCAGACCGCTGAGGAAAAACTGGTTCCAGTTCCTGATCCAGCAGCTCGCAGAACCTTTTTCATGACTCACACTCAACCTGACATGGTTCTGGAGGAACTGGACTGACTGCAGAAGCCCAAACCATCGGTCCTCCACCGCCGTGCTGACAACTGGGAGGAGCTGTTTGCAGCAGTGCATTCTGGGGAAACATCTGTCCTTTGGTCTGGTTCTGGTCCAGAAGTCTTGCGGTTCAGATGAAACCAAGCTGCGCCGCCATGTTGTTTTTAGATCAACGACCTTTGACCTTCTGACTGAGGCCTGTAGTTTGAGCTCATTGCACGGTCTGACCTTCAGGGTGAACGATTACTCTGTAGAACCACGGACTCTGAATGACTGCAGCTACAGGTGTGTGTTATTACGCTAACACACACCTGTAGCTGCAGGTAGATGTGGTCCCACTGATGAGGATCTGCAGCTCCTGATCCTGGACCTCTGTATAAATAAAACAACTGACATTTTCATAAACGTGTTAATGTTTGGTAACTTTTTTTGAGCCGTCATCTAACTTTTTGATACTTTTAGCTTTAAGCTAGTCTTTTGTTACTTTTAGCCTTTTTAGATTTATTTATTTAACTTTAGGGAAATCCCACTGAGTTCACATCTCCTTTGGAAGAGAGACCACTTTGTGCTTCTTTTGGTTTTTAGTGTTTATTCTATCGTACAGCTAGCCGTTTATTTTCAGCTAGCTTTTTCATAGATAGGTTTAGCTTATTAGCTACTTTTTGTTAGCCTTTTGATGCTTTTATTATTTTTGCTAGACTCTTACCAATTTAAGCTTTTGTTAGTTTTTACAACTATTAGCATTTAGCTAGTCTTTTTGCAAGTTTTGCTACATATAAGCAGGTTTTTAGCTGGTTTGTGCTACTTTTAGCTTTTCTCTAGCGATTTGCTTCCTTTGGTTTTTAGTGTTTTTGCTTTAGTTCTAATCTATATATCTAAAACTTGAAATGTTTAGTTTTGAGCTAGACTTTACTTTTATCTTTTAACTAGCCTTTATTCAGCTAGCCTTTTGATGTGTTTAGTTTTTAGCTAATTTTTGCTACATATAACTTTTAGCAGCATTGGGCTACCTTTAGCTTTTTTAAAAATTTGCTTTGCTCAGATTGTATTTTTTATTTTCCATTTAGCTTACACCTAACTTTTGCTCTGTTTAGCTTAGAGCTAGCATTTTATTTTGAGCTAGCCTTTTGATAAGTTTAGCTTATTTGCTACTTTTAATTAGCCTTTTGCTTTTACTATTTTGCTAGTCTTTTGTCAATTTACTGTAAGTGTTTTTTAGTTTTTACAACTATTAGCATTTAGCTGGTCTTTTTGTGCGTTTTGTTAGAGTTTTTCTACCTAAACCTTTTAGCAGCTTTGTGCTAGCCGTAACAATTCAGTTTCAGTGGTTTTCAGAAGGTTTCAGCTGTTACAGAAAATATTTTTTTATTAAATAAAAGTAAAAATATGTTTAACTTTTATTATTTATTGTCAAAGATTTTGATCTAAACTGTGGTTTGTTAAAAACAGTAAGTGAAAAATAAATAAAGAAATGAGAAACAGTCTGGTAAATGTAAAGGCTCATCTGTTTTCGTTTTCATTTGTTGTTCTTTTATTTATTGGATTGTTTTATTTTTCTTTTTTTCAATTTAATCAATTTTCAATTTAAACCTGGTTTTTATCGTTTTATGTTAAAATCCTGACATGTTAAAATGTATATAAAATACAGATTAAGGTTATTTTTCTTCCTTTGTGTCGTCACTTCCTGTTCTAACTTCTTTTTCCTGTTGAAGTCAGAACACGTCCGATCCTCCGATACCTTAATAAATAAATCTTATTGCGATGAGCAGCTTGTTTCTGTTGTGTTTGTTCAGGTCTGACATTTGAATATAAAACGACAGATCTGGGATCAGAGATGAAAGCTGCTGCAGGAACGTTAGACCAGCAGACAGCAGGAAGCAGAGCACCGGCAGCTAAAACTGATAAATTAATAAATATAAACTAAAAAAAGAACAAATTAAAAAAAATAATAACACAGAAAACCTGAAACTGAAGTTTGAATAAGTAGAAAAACTAAAACAAGAAGCAACAGTGGGAAATATTCAGAGCTATTTTTGACTAAATCTAAATTATTTTATTTAATTCTTTGTTTCAGGAGGAAGTTTTAAACATAAAGTTTCTGCAGAATTAAAACAAACAGATCCTGTGGTGGTCAAGGTGTTTTTTAACACACGCACATAAAGAAAATAATTTGAAATTAGCTCCCACCGCTAATTTCAAAGGATTTAGTCATCTGTTTTAAGAAATATTGAGCTTGAATTTTTGTGATAGTAGCTAAAAATGGTCCAAAAACACACTGAATGCTAGTCCCAATTTATTCAGCCTTTTTTAAGATACAAAGCAGAGGATTAGCGTAGAAGTAGCCGAAAACAATTTTTTTATTAAATCGTAAATGCTAATCAAAAATTCAAGATGGCCGCCACAGCTAGCTTTAAAAGGCTATAATTCAATCATTTTAAGACTCATTGTGATGGAATTTGTTCTGGAGCAGCTAAAAATGATCACATGCTGATTGTTGATGCTAATCACAGATTATGCTAACCACTAATGCTAAATCTAATTTTACAAAAGGCTACAATTCAGCCATTTTAACTAGTGCTAAGGCTAACAGGCTAAGCTGAGGTTGTCCTTCCATGAAGCAGCTCTGTTGTCCTCCATCCATATTTTCAGTTTTACAAAAGTGAACATCCTACATTATTTTATGTACACAGTAATATCAGAGAACAATATTAATCAAAATCTAAATGAAAATCTAAGATCCTCACCCACTTTCAGTTATTTTGGCGGGCACCAGAGTTGGCCCCACCCCCACACTTCTGGCTCCGTCCCTGTAAACAAAGCCTGTTAAACAACAACAACAGGATTTATTTTGATCTGAAAGTTTGAATTGAAATAATTTAAATCCAGTTTTCTTATTTAAACAAAGCCATGAGTTAAACTTTTCTTTATTTTATAATTTTAAACTACAAAAGAGCATAACATTCACCAAAGAGGATGCTCTTCTGTAGAAAGCTGCAGAGATGGAGGTAAAATGTAAATGGTGCCACCTGCTGGTTTCATTTAAAACTGTCACTAAAACAAAAAACAAGTAAAAAAAGTAAAAAAATAAAACACTAAAACGTATTTCTGGTTAATACAAATATCCATCCATCCATTATCTGTACCCGCTTGTTCCTTCAGGGTCACGGGGGTCACAGTGCAAGGGCCGGGGTACACCCTGGACAGGTCACAACACACATCACAGGGCCAACAAACAGAATTACACAAACATTTTACAGATATAATAAAAATTAAATATTTGGTCCTGAAGTTATTAACTTTAAGAGTAGAAAGTTATTTATTTTTTTTGGATGGCCTCCCTTCTCCCCTTATAGCC